CTGAGGACCACCCCCCCCCCCCCATCTACCTTTTGCTTGCGACCTGCCTATTGAACCCTCGCGACTGTCTGTTTACCTAGGCCCTTTCTTATCTCTATCTTTCAAGCTCTGTTCACTTTTTTGTTACGCTCCCAATTCCATAGAAACTCTGGGGCTGGACATTCTAACTAGCGTCATTAGGTTGGATTACCTGTATTGTTTTGATTTGGAAGTCGTACAAAACAGAATGATAAGATGTTAGCCTTATCAAGATCTTGGACATGGATTGCATTGGGGAGTAGGGGGTAGGCTTTCATATCTAGTCAGCACAGGCCGTGCGGTAAGTGTATATTCTTCGATTCTTCTTCGAAGTGGGTCCCGCTGAAAAGTTTTCCATGAGGAGGGCCAGTCGGATCGGCCGGTTTCGCCGGCCAGTCTTATTGCGCCGGGTTTCGCCGGCTTGTCGGATGTCGCCGGTTTCGCCAGCCCTTCCTCTTTCCGTGTGAAGTGGCCGTTGCGTCCCGGTGTGAAGGTTTTCATGATTGGGAGGGCAGTCGGATCGTTGATTCCCGGTGAGAAGATTTCCATGAGTGGGAGGGCCAGTGAGATCGCTGGGACCCGGTGAGATGTTTTCCCTGAGAGGGAGGGTCAGTGGGATCGGTGGGGCCCGGTGAGAGGTTATCCCTGAGAGGGAGGGCCAGTTGGACCTGTGGGACCCGGTGAGAGGTTATCCCTGAGAGGGAGGGCCAGTGGGATCTGTGGGTCCCGGTGAGAAGTTTACCATGAAAGGGAGTTCCAGTGGGATCGGATAGCTTTGCCGACCGATCCTCCTTCCGCGTGTGAAGTGGGTCCCGGTGTGAAGGTTTTCATAATTGAGGGCCAGTCGGATCCTTGATTCCCGGTGAGAAGTTTTAAATTGGAGGGAGGGCCAGTCCTATCGGTGGGGCCCGGTGAGAAGTTTTCCATGTGAAGGAGGGCCAGTCGGATCGGTGGGTCCCGGTGAGAAGTTTTCCCTGAGAGGGAGGGCCAGTGGGATCGGTGGGACCCGGTGAGAAGTTTTCCATGTGAAGGAGGGCCAGTCGGATCGGAGAGTCCCGGTGAGAAGATTCGCATGAGAGGGAGTTCCAGTGGGATCGGATAGCTTTGCCGACCGATCCTCCTTCCGCGTGTGAAGTGGGTCCCGGTGAGAAGTTTTAAATGAGAGGGAGGGCCAGTCGGGTAGGTGGGTCCCGGTGAGAGTTTTCCATGTGAAGGAGGGCCAGTGTTATCGGTCGGGCCCGGGCTCGGGAATTACAGTCATCATTCAAGGGTTTTAGGCGCTAATTAGGTGGGGTTTTGGAAAGGCGAAAGAAGCAGCTACTCGTGTCTCGTTTTTTGATAGGCAGATCATAAAAAAATCATCATCATTCAGTTATCAAAAATTGAAGATTAGTATGATCGCTGGCACGGTTATGCCGGGGACGCCCTCCTGTAATCGCGGCATAAGACTGTTATTTTTTTTCGTTCTTCTGAACTTGATGGAACGCCATTAAATGATTTTTTGTGGTTACCATTACCGGAACGGGCGCACAGCTGGCCTCCTTCTTTGATTTCTCTCTTATTCTTCCTCAAGATGGACCGCTACTCGAACGATGCTGTCGACATTGCTTTACATCCTACCACTTTTGGAGACCCGCTACCAATCTCTTTGATAATGTTTTTAGTTATAAATTGTCAGTTTTCTTTTGGACTTGTAGAAACGTCTCCTCTTTCCTCTATCGATGTTCCTGAAACTAATTGTTTTGTGTTCCAACTCTTTATAGCGCACGCTGTGCAGGGGACTAACTGTCATATCCCTACGAAGGATGGGGCGCACTCAGGCGTGTGTATGTCTGTTGAACGTGAGTGCAGTCAGATCAGATTGCCGTAGTGGTAACGTGGACTACATTGTAGTAAAACAAAGCGCCCTTGGCTGCCACTCCAGTTACGCGGCTTCGAGTCGCACGTGCTATCTCTTGCATTAGATTCCGATGACTAATGGATATTATTTGAGGTATGTCAAACTCGCACTCAAGCCGTGGTCGTACGACACAAACTCTTTAACTTTACAACGCTATCTATTAGCGGAACAAAGCCTATACCCAAAGGCAAGCGGCGAATTATATATATATAACAAAACTACCCCCCCCCCTCATAACATCCCTACGGATAGGATCAATGGTATTTCTGAACTCTCCAGATTGAAGTGTTACTCACCCTTTTTTAACTCTGGAAAGGGTCCTAAATAGATAGCTGACTAGAGTTGATTCCGCTCAGCGTGATTTTAGCACAATTGACTGGAACCGTTAACAGTTACAAGGTTGTTGATAGGGGCAAAGTAGACCAAGAACGGTGTTATTGGATTTTCATTTTTTATTTCAGTCTATTTCGAGTGTGGTACGTAGAAACGGTTTCTTAAATCTTCATGACATTACAGCGAAGACCAATCAAGTAGAGGAGGTTTCACAACAAATTTCACTGTTTATAGCCATCGGAAGTTCAAATAACATTTGATTAATTTAGGCCAAAAATCTGGACGTTCTTAGTAATGAGGATTCTCTTAAAATAATAACATCGGTCAATTGGTTGTGGGGGGATTGATTTGCACAAAGGGAGGGGATGGCCGTGAGTGACTTTCCTTTTGAGGCAGTCTGTAATTCATGATGGCGAACGCTGGGAAAACATTCCCTTCCCCACCGCATGTATCGCCTGACCTCCAACTTACCCAAGCCGGTGAGGCGTCGCTATTATTCCCGCCGCCTTTCCACCCCCCCTTCTGTGTCTCCCCTAAACGGAACAACCGAATTGAACTGACTATTCCAAAGCTATTCGTGTGAACGCCGAGACCTCCGGGGGGCGGCGGTTCCATTAGAGTTTCAAGCGGGACGAGTGAGGAGTAAAAACGCCAACGTGGTTCGACAGCCGGCGCACGCACTCTCGCACTCGCGGCTATCAGATCGCTCGAATTGATCGCGCGATCGAGTGGAGTCATCCGATTGCGTTTGGGGACGCTCCACCGCCAATCGGTGGACCGTCCTAAACATTTTGAACTAATACGACTGTATGAGAAATATAAGGAAGCACAACATTCCCAGAGTTAACACACTTTCCAAAACGTTCAGAAAATGCAAGATATGCGTGTATAGAAAGATATAACAAGAACACAGCACTACATGAACGCGGCACATTTTGAAATCTGCCGTTTTCCACTCGACGCCTATTACTCCTCCCTTTTAACTATCCTCAGTTCCAGCTAATGAGGAAATCTTCTCAGTGGGAGGACTAGCCTTTGAATAAAGTGTGTGTAATCGTATGTGGCTTTCACAGTTGCTGGTTCGGGCACAGAAGGATACAGCTTATGCATGGGCTGACGCACACGGCGTGAGAATTACCATGCACGTTTAACCCGTTTTTACCTGGACTGGCACTGTCTACCGCCATCACAACAGTTCTGTGTACCCGCGCTTTCATCACCAAGATGTGCACCATAAGTTCATTCAAATAAGCAGAAACTGTAGCTCGTGATCAGGGAACGCTCCCGGTACCCATGACACCACCCACTAAGTGCTAGATCGATCCCACGGGTACTAATGGTATCTTTTTCCGTTCCCCTCATTTAACACTGTTCTTTGAACTTGTTAGTGATAACGATTATGACTGATGTAATTCAGGTGGTTAAAGTTGATGAAATAAAAACGGGAAATTATATACTTTGTTTCGACCCGCTAAACGGATCCTCGGATATTGATTGTATGCTACCTATGGGTAAGTTACTCGCTTCCATAAATACAAACTAGTAGTGGTGAATTGAAGCAGAAATGGATCCGCTCTTTTCATGTCTTCATGTGGTTTCTCTTTTAGCTTCGATTTTTGGTATTTGGAGAAAGCGACGAAGGGATGACCCCGCCAACAGAAAGACGATTTCATGGCAACGGGAAGGTGGAGGCAGTCCCCCCCAACCATACTGTCGCAGTAATGTGATTTTTGTACGGCCTCAGGTGGGTGGTGCTGCCGCGTTTTATTTACGGATCAGCCACAATGGTAGTCATTTCCACCGGGAGCGGCGTAGACGGATTCACACTTGATCCGGTAAGTTTTTCTTCAAGTTGCTTCACTTCTCTACTTAAAGGCAGTGGGCTGGCTGTGGGCGGGAGTCAGTGCCACAGTCATTGGTGGTAGGTCTGCGAGATGCATTCGACACCCCCCCCCGCTCAGCCATTCCACCACTAAATGCGATTGGCTGACCGCTCTCCGTAAGCGGTCATGCCTACTGCTCTTAAAGGCAGTTGGTACGATAAATCTCTAAGAAGAGTAGGACTGATACCGCCTGGAGGACAATGTTCCGCAACCCTTAGCAGGTGCTGCGTAGCGCCTTTTTTAAGGGAGGCGGCACACTTAGATGGGCCCTTTCGAACTACAACATACGACCCATACTCCCGCCACGCCCGCCCGCCCACAAATGGACGACCGTACCTCCCGCTCGTATTGCTTTAATTGCAAAGTATTATATGAAGCGGGGGAAGCGGGTGCGGTGCTGCATTGATCTATGAGAATCTGAATGCAACGTACCCACCGTAGCGGTTATTAGGCAAGATGTCTACGGAAAACTCGTCCGAAATTGTCATTAAGAACGAAGGTTTTTCTTCGCAGGTTTTTGACCGTTTCACTTCGTTTTTTCGCCATTTTCCCCACTATATGGCGCCCTGCTAGCATTTTAGGCCAATTAACAAAATATCGTGCCGACAGCCTTTGAGATCCATGAACGTGAATGAAGTGGGTGTGGGAGGGAGGAGCAGCTTTTCGCCACCAAGGGGAGCATCTGATTGGTAAATCCAGATAATCACCAATAAACTCCCGATCCGCTGCTCGTATGTAACTTTTATTCGTAAGTAATCGATGCTGAATACATGAGGCATAAAGGAATTTATTGCAGAGCATTGGCGAATTTATTCTAACCCATCCTAAAATCAACCTCCCGGAAAAGGGAAAGATCTTCAGTATCAATGAACGAGAACATTAAAGATTGGTCGGCGGGACTTACTGCATACATCCATGCCAGGAAGTTTCCGCAAGTAAGCCGAGTTTTCAATGCCAGTGATGTGTTTTGTAAGCAATAAATCATCACACTGCAGACTGGCAAGAAAGCGATGAGCCAGCGCTATTTCGGATCAATGGTGGCTGACGTCCATCGAACACTTCTTTACGGCGGCATATGTTTATATCCACCGACAAAAGATGCTCCGAACGGAGAGGTGAGGACCGTGTTCCTCATATGGTCGACTTCATCGAGATTCGACTTCCTGTAGTGCCCACTTAGAGTGCACTAACACTAGGTTTCTGAGCAGTCATGTAGCGAACTCATTAGCTTGCGTATTTGCCATGATAAGCTAGGACAAAATCGTTGTGTTACCTTTCGCGGCAGTCAATTCGACAATAAGATGCGCTAAGCATGAAAGCGGTTATGTGACTTACATGTTATTTGATATAACATTTCACATTGGGAGAAAAAACTTCGGATATCTTCCAGCGGCGCTAACGGGTGAGCAATGCTGCTGTGGCTTGAAGATGCATAATGTCCTTTCATAGGTGTAACTGTAGTTTTTTTTTGCTCCATCGCCGCGGTGCAAACCTCTGCGCAGACATATGGAGTTGGCGGCTGTAAAACCATAGTAAGATGCAAAAGGCCATGTCCTCAGTCAGAAGACCCTCCTGTGTGTGAAAGACCGCCTATCATACAGTCGGTATCATCGCAACTATTGGGCTTGCCCATATTTCTCATATGAAGAGTCGCAATTGTTCCCCTTATGTTATGTTATTCGATAGACCAAGCGGCTCGCTTTGACGCCGGCGCGCTCCTTCTGTGGTACGGCCCTGCTTTGCCGGGCCGGCGCGGCTTCGCCTCGCTATTTTCTCTCTGCTTCCATACACAGTTGGTACCCAGCTTTCCTTTCATCTTTACACATGCTCACTGCTCCTTAACCAATAGCATCACACCTGCTGCTTCCAATACTATTACCGTCTATGGAATGGTGGAAAGCAGCGTTGATCAAGCGTACAGATGAGAGGAAGCCGGATATTAGTTGAGTATTCACCGTACGAAAGAAGGCACGCATGGCGAAGCTGGGTAGTGTCACAGAGGGATGGCGCACCGGCGTCAGCCGGCAATCCAGTGGTAACAACACCGGCGAACCAACTGGTAATAACAACAAAGAACATTGGTATCTACTAATAAGAAAGGGTGTTTGGAAAAAAAAGAGCGGGGAAAACCACTACCAAAAGAAGCATGTCATTTATAGGGCAAATCATCTCTTTTTCTTCGTATTGAGGGTCCAAATGCACTTTTGAAGAGTGGGCGGGGCTCTTAACAGTGGGCGGGGCTTCATGTAGCAGCTCCAAAAATGCAAAAATTTTGAAAAATATCAAAATTCCGCGAAAAGCAAGTGGGCGTCGCTAAGAGGACGGAACCTAGATTGCTAAACCCATCAGAGAATGAGCGGAATTGGCCACGTGTCAATGTTCAGTCGTTTCCAGCCAAAAATATGGGGGAAACAGCAAAAGACAAGAAAAGTCACAGAAGCAGAAGTTATGAAACAAGATTTGAAAATCTATGTCCGCGCTGACAAGTAGGCGTGGCCGTCGGGGCGGGGCTCGCAGTGGTGTCTGGCGTGATCTGGTTGATGAACTTGCCCGGCCTAATAAGTGTGGTGAATTTGATTTGGAAAGTGATGGTGAATTTGGTTTGAAAAGTGGTGAATTTGCTTTGAAAAGTGGTGAATTTGCTTTGAAAAGTGGTGAATTTGCTTTGAAAAGTGGTGAATTTGTTTGAAAAAAAAGGTGAATTAGAAGTGAAAATGGTATAAGTTGCTGCAGCTGCGCTTTTTCTCTTGAAAGGCTTGTTTCACTTCAGCTCCGTCTCCTGTGCCAATGCGCTCCAATAGCCTTCATTGTAGAGCAGGCAGGAGGTCATGCTACGTCGGGGAAGGTAATGTAGACCTATGCTTTTTCAATAGAGAATCAAACGCTCCAGAGTTTCAGCGTCCCATACTACACATTACTCCCAAGGATATCCACCAGAGATGTCCTTTCTACGTTGGGAGCAAGAAGGACGTAGAAGAGCTGCTCACATACCTTGATAAAGAGTAAATCAATGTCAAATGTTAGTGAAGCATGTCGGCAGCACTAACAATAAGAGTATGCACCGGACTTTCGAAAAGATAAGAGACTTTGAGTTATTTTGGCTTTTTTCTTTTGTTTTTGGGACTATTGAGGATTCCTATTTGTGTGTAATTTTTCATTTTCATTGAGTATTCGTGTTATGTAAATTAGTAAATTAATGGATGTCTGCCTCGGTCTCATTGAATAAAGGGTTTTTGTAACATGGTCAAATGTGACTTCGCGGCCGAAAAGTGAGCGTTCTTGTTGGAAATCAACCGACCAGACTTCGGAACTTCGTATGTCTACATAACAAAAATACCCTTTCTAGGAGGAGGGGGGGGGTGGCGGAGGTGAACGCCCACCCAGGTGGATAACTATGAATGACTTCAGCTATATCGGTGTACGGTGTAGAAATATTGAAGAGGGGGTGTGTGTTGTTCTTAAAAGATCTCACTTCACACCTATCATGCCTCTTGGGGAGACTTGCCTGTGGGGTCGCCTGACTTAATTGCTCTCTCGCTTACTCCTGACCTTCCCTCTACTTGACGATTACATCATAACAACTGATTAAATTATTGCTGATTCGTTAGCAAGTTTCAAAGAACTAATAAGTATTAGGTTGGCTCACCACGTTTTTTGTCATACAAAATTTTATATGGAAAATGACAAATGTTGCCAATATGTTCTGCAATAATTGCCTTCTCTCTCTTTCTCGACTTGTGTCAATTTTTATATCATTGTAAAGGGAATTCGGTTAGACCCAAAAGTGAGCGAGAACAATTTTTTGCAAATTATCTCGGCTTTTGAATTACTGAAGAAGCTGTGAACTTGTGATGTATATAGCCAAAAATAGATGCGTCTCATGATGGCTTGAGATTGGTTCAAGCGATCAAAAGGAGGTAGTTCGGACCTTGTAAACCACCATCGCGGTGGTGGGTGTTCGTACGAAAGAAGTGGGTAGGTCCTGCAGGCGGGCCTCTTGGGGAGGACTGCCTGCAGGACCTACCCACTTCTTTCGTACGACCATAAACTGAGGGTGGTGGTTGACAAGGACAAGGAGACATTCTAACCTCGAATGACCCCTCAATCTTTGGCATGATTCTCAGTTAGTAAGTGCGTAAGCTCTCAGTTGGACAGAATAGGGCATTAGGTCCGATGCTTGTCTGTGAGGCTCGAAACTGAAGTCCTTGAGTCTCTTGAAGTATTATCATACGTAAGAGACACAGCCTTTCAGCCATATGCTGCCCATGCGGTTTCAGCTTTTTACTCAGAGGTATGAAAGAGAGGCTGTCGAAAATTCCATTTCGTCGACCTGACACTCCAGTTTGAGCACTTCAATATCAGTGGTAAGAGAAACTTTAAGAAAACTATCAATAAGAAGACTATCGTTCAGGGCAAAACGCAATAAAACTCATTGGAGAAACTTTACTTCTTCAGCGCGATATTTCGAGTGGGGAAAAACGCCATTACTTATGGGCCGACCCGATACAATGTGAAAAACCTGAATCACATAAAACAATCAAAGGTGAAAAGCATGCTAAAAGATTCAAAATGAAACACACGAATTGAGCTTAGATGGCAATGCTAGTAACAAATCTAGACCATTCATCATATTTTAGAGATCAGATCATTTGGGATAACCTCCGTGGTGGGAACAACAGATTTCGATACATGCCCTTTTTCCCCCATTTGAATTGTAGTAAGTCCATGATGTGCACTCTGCATCCCATTCGCTCGTAGTGCTTGAGTGTGTTCTTAACATTTTAAATTTATCAAAAGATCTTATTTTCCCATAACTGTTACTGTTTTCGGCGAGAAGAAGTTTAACCACGCGTAGCTCGCCAGGCTCTGACGTGGCACCCTGGTACGTTTTTGGAACAGTCCAAAACCGTTCACCCCCACGCCACGATGAGGCTGCGGATAGGATTTGTTGGAGAAGTTCTACAAGGAAGATCATACCCTTCTTCAAGTTCATCGTCGGTGATTTCAACGCTAAGATCGGATCAAGAAAAACACACACACTCGAGCTTGAACCTCGCCAATCGGCAACAATCGTGCCACCCCCGGAACTGGGAGTGGCACTGAGCAGCGGTGAAGCAGGCTTGTCCATGTAGCTTCACTCAGCTCGCCCCATGCCACTCCATGGTATAACGTCGGAGTTCAGACCGAACCCTACCCGGGCTCCCCCTACCACCCCACGGCCCCCCCCTGCTGCCCCCGCTGGCGCAACATCGCCCGCGAGTGTACCTATGACCAAGTGTCATAAGATGGGCGGACTCGGGGGTGGCCAGCGGGGTGGCGAAATGCTGTCAGAAAGCGGTGCGGAAGGGCAGGGCTCGTTCGTGCCTGGAAACGCGCCCGGATGCTCGGCCCGCTGCTTGTGTGTGGCCAGCTGGAGAAGTTGCTAGCGGCCAGGGCCAGCGAGGAAGATCGCCGACCGGGGGCGCCGGGGCTCTGTCGCGCGAAGGATTCCGCTATTTAAGCGAATGCAGCAGAGAGAGCCGCCAAAGGGGGCGGGGGGGGGGGGGGTGCCAAGAGCGGAAAGCCGCAAGTGCCGTCGGCATCTGACTGGATCGGACTGTCACGGATTCCGCGTGGCGGCTGGGCTCGGGGCTGGAGGATGTCGGCAGTGAAGGGTGCGGGGGGGACCGAGGAAGATCGAGCTCGAGGGGAATTGGAGACGGTAAGAGTGGCCTTGTGCACTTGTCACGCATGTTCACGACTGCGCCAAGAAGTCAGAGAGGTTCCAAGATTACCAAGAAGCGTCTATCTCTGGAAACTCTCGAGCTGATTCGCCAACGTGGAGCCGCACGAGCCGCAGGCAATTACCAGCTGACGTCTGAGCTTGCGAAGCTATGCAGAGAAGCGATAAAGGAAGACCTCAAGGAGAGAAGAGCAGCTGTACTGGTGGAAGCCGCAGAAGCGGGGAAGAGCATCCGCAATACGCGCCGCGACTTCGCCAACTGCAAGACCAGTATGACCGCCCTCGTCGACTCCGATGTGAACCAATCCACAAACCGCATCACCAAAGGCGCATAAGAGGACCAGTCCATCCCACGCACTTTACATCGGATCTCTTTGAGCAGCCACGTCCCATCCTGCACACAATAACTAGTCCGCTTGGAGCAAGAATGGATACGATCGTCTCCATGCAGTTCTACCATTATCGAAGTCCGGCACATGCTCTCACCGTCGTCCGGTGGAGGAACCTGTACGGCAGGACCCACCGTCCGGAGCAGGATCAGGATCACCGTGAACATTCCGAAAATCTTGTGATTCAAGACTATGAACAAGGTCTACAAGAATCGCACGGACTCAGTGGAAAACAAAGAAAGACTGTGTTGCTGGTGGCCGAAGGGAGACCTGTACGACCCCACTTTCAATTAAATCGCCCAAATCTGGCCTGCTGATCTTCAGTCTAGCAAACCGTTCGTTCCACACAGAGTCATCGTGAATAGATTGCAGAAACACTAACGAATACAAGCCACTCGCGAGCAAGCAGGGTTTCGAAGAGGATTCAACGACGATCCGGAATCACATCCACGACGGGTAATTACAAACGCTCATCCGAGAAGTATCTCGCGAGAGTATAAAATGCCGGCTATATCTCACGTTCCATTCTTATCTTAAGAAAGTCTCGACTGGGGAAGCATTCGGGCGTTCGGGAAGACGCTTGAGACAGAGCGATTAATCGAAGGCCGACTGGGCAACCAGGGTATTCCTACTCAGTACATTAGGATTCTTCGTGAGCTCTACAGCAACTTCACGACCAAGATCTCACCATTTTACGAGGAGATCATCATCGATGTGAAGAGAGGCGTCCGAGTACAACGAGCGACATCCAGCATCGTCGCCAAGCTACTTCCAGCGCGCCTCCTCTCGAAGAACATCGATGGCGTCAGCTTGGAATGGGAAGACATGGAATGGAGATCGATGTGCCGGCAACACAAGCCAGACAACTCCCGCTTTGCTGACGACATCCCGTATTTGATAACCTACATCGAGCAACCCGTGGAACGATGCTCGACTGATTTCGACTTCGCGTGTGGAACCAAGATCGGTCTACCGGCTGATATACTAACGAAGAAGATTTCATGGGAAAAACCGGATTGCTTCATGTTGCCAGCCCCATTCACGCTCAACGGAACGACCATCTCTGAATGCTCTAGCTATGTGTACCGGTCGTGAAATCAATATGATGAATGACTTAGCACCAGAGCTGAGCAGGAGGAAGCGAGCGCTTGGGGAGCCACAAACATTCGAGGGAGTAGCGAAGAAGACGAAGAACACCAAGCTCCGTGCCCACCTCTTCGATTCCGCGGTCCTTCCTGCCTTGACGTACGCCTCAGAGACTTGGACTCTACGAAAGCAGGATGAACATGCGGTTGGCGTTATTCAACGCGCCATTCGGAAAAGAAGGCGTATTCGGAGTAGCTACAGATGTGCAACGTGAGAAGGAATCCGGAGCATCCCGCACTCCACCGCGGGCGCGAACTGAGGGTATCGGATCGGGCGGCCGGGAGTGGACGATCGAAGATACGGAGGACGGGGGTGGTACAGCGCAAAGCCGGCTCCCGCCAGAAGCCCACGGACGAGCGAAATAGCAAATGCCGCCAGCATTTGCCACAAGCCTTTCGAAGATGCAGAGTGGCGGACACGTCATCGTTTCGAGGGCACCGCTGACCAGAGGCGATCACGAACTCGGATCCACGGATGTACAAGACGAACGCCTGGACGACCGCCCTTGCGAGGTCCAGTAGCAACTTTTTCGTGGAAGCTTGAAACGACCATATGTATGAAGTTCATCGTAGTTCCTCTCGGCAGAGAGCAGTCCATTGGGGTCGCCAACGTCTTGCACGTCGCAGAGGACGATGGAGACCTTACTCGGCGCCGCGTCGGCCTGCGTAGGAACTCGTGAAATGCATCGCGCGGAGCACCCAGTGATTACAGGTGATCCTTCCTTTCGCGAACATTTCGCTACGGGTTTACTTTTATTTTTGCCTTCCACTTTCCATGTTAGGTTTGGCTCAGTCGTGTCCTCCAACGAGAGGTCAGGAGTAAGCGAGAGAGCAAGTTGGGCAACCCCGCAGGCATTTCTCTCCCAAGAGGCATGATAGTGTGAAGTGGGATCTTTTAAGAAAGTCCTACACCCAGCGGAGACCTCCTGAGGCTTGCCTGTGGCATTACCTCACTTAATCGCTGCGCTGGCTCATATCTCACTGACTGTCCAACGAAACTCATCAAATGGAATTCATCCAGTAGTAGAAATGGATACATGAAAGTTTTAGTTGACGTTTTCCATCCATATGCCATTCTAAGACAGACGTTTTCAACACTGATTACACTGCTTCAGCCTTGAGCTCCGAAAATGTTGACTGGGTTCAAAATTACATTGGTTATTTCTGGGTATCGAACTAGTATTGTAGGTCCTGCTTAATTGTATACCACAACTGGCTCTTCATGTTCCAATGCCTTATCCTCAGTCTTCGTTTCCAACATTTCATATTCGGAGTCGGAACCTTTTATTCAAAAAACACAGAGTCTAGAAAGTTTCCCAAATCCAATCAGTAATGTGCGCTATAGAAAAGTCTGCTCAGATGCCAACCACCATCTCAGAAAATTTTGCGCATATAGGGAGCGCCATCTAGCATCTCATTGTTCCGATGCACCCTTCTGTCATGAATGTAAACTTATTCCAACACAGCAGCATGGCTTTCTCCCAGTGCAAGTACCTCGACCAACATTTTTGACACCACCACCAGCCCTCTGTTTGACTGGTTCAGTGCGACAAATCTAGGTAAATCTGTAGATGTGATTCACGTAGATTTATCCAAAGCATTCGATGATGTCAACCAGAATAAGCTGTTCTCAAAACTAGAAAAATTTGGTATAGGCGGTGATTTACTGAACTGGCTGAAGTCCTACTTACTTTATCGTCACTTGACTGTCAGAGTAGGCTTTAATTTCTCCAGTAGACATCTCTGCACCAGCGACGTGCCTCAGCGTGTAGTACTCTCCCCTCTTTTGTTCCCGCTCTACACGATGGAGTTGCTAAGTATTGTTGAACATTCACAAAATAGTAAGGTCCAGATTTATGCGGACGATGTGAAATTGTATGGTGTTTACGTCAATTCTAACCGTGACAAAGTTTCTTTTTCTCTCAAACTAGCTATTGAGATGCTTAACTCGATTTAGCTGTGAACTTAAATAAGTGCTACGCTTCATATGAACATGAAGCTCCTAGGATCTACGATGTAAATGGTATTACTTTGAGAAGTTGCAAATCTATCAGAGACCTTGGTGGTCTTATTGAATCATGCCTGACATTCTTATTACAGATATACTTGTACACGACTTGACAGAGTCAGAAACGAGGACGTCAGGGCGGTCACACAGACGCTCCGATCCAGCTGAAGGCACGAGAGCAGCGACTGCGATGGTATGGGCACGTGCTGAGAAGGCCTGAGGACCACCCAATAAGGAAGGCATTGGAATTCGAAGTAGAGGGCAAGCGGAATTCGAAGTAGAGCGCGACCACGAGGAGCCCCAAAGAAAAGATGGAGGGACGTCATCAAGAGGGACCTCACTGAAGTGAAAGCCACAGCAGAAGATGCAGTGGATCGGAACAAGTGGCGACGTCTAACAAGAACAGCGGACCCTGCGACGGCGCGGGACTAACGCTAGGGAGAAGAAGAAGAAGACTTGTACTCCCTTAGTTGACACGCCACTCATTGCACACCTTCCCCCTCAAGGAAATTAGGACAAATGCCAGTTTGTCACATATAGTGAGCACTAAACCCCAAAAAAGCGAAAGGAATGCCTTAATACACGTATTCCACCACCCTTCTGAAAAGTGCCTATCATTCTCTCCGAAACCGAGGAAGCAGTGTAAAGACTGGGCCAATTTGGAATGTTTGGCAACGTGCCAGAAGTTTCGCAGGTCTCGCAGCAAAGAAGGGTACGCCAGCTTCGAATATTCCCACCATACACATAGTGACTATCATCAATAATACCATTGACAATTGCTGACCAATAAATACAGCCGTGGGGCTACGGTAATCGGGCAAGGACGCAGAGTTTGTAGTTGAGTCCGACTACACCTTCCGCGAAGCGGTTTCGATAGGTATCGACGGTCGGTTCAGCGGACCCACCAGGCGAATTCGGCGCGTTCGATAAAAGTTAATATAACGATCCACAGGACCGGCATAATGGTAGCTCCGCCCGCTCGCCCGTTCCTCTGTTGGGCGGAGTCAGTGAAATCAATATGCGTCTTTTGCATTTCCGCCGAATTCGCCGCCATTTCGCCAGAGCGATTGGCATTCTCCTAAGTCGATATGTACTTATTTGTTTCTTTTCGCTATTTCGCCGATTCGTCACGATCTTTGACTGTGAGCAGTTTTACGCATTTTGTACAGAACTTCTTAGATAACAGCTTCAAAAGATTTTTTCGATTTCAGACGAACTAGTTATCCTCCACCAGTGGCAGTAAGATGCGTCGCTCAGTCAGATTGAAAGAAAAGATGGTAAGCTGTTCTCTGGTTCTCTTCGACGAGTAGCGCGTTCTAAAGGTCTTTGAACGAATTCATTTGTACTAGTATCAAATGATCCTTTGGAGAAGGATAGAAAGGGGTGGTGTCCTCATTTTGAAGTTAGAACATGAGATCGCATGTGATTTTCGAAATGCCTGTTGGAACTTTTTTTAAAGGGGTAATATAAGGCTCTTTTGGGGGCACTTTGAGATTTGCATATCCAGTTCTTCAGGCCATGTCTTCGTTCCCGAATGGTCTGTTCGTAAGAAATGACGGTCATTGAAAGAGGGATCTTTCAGAATTTCTCGTGGGTTTGGCGATGCGCGCACATGGCCATAGCAATATTGCATTGCTGTTCAAAAACGGAATTAACAGTCTGTATCCCTACGATAGGAAGGTCGTGGCTGCGTCCTTCTCTTGAACGTGGCGTTTGGTGAGATATTTTCGTTCGGGACAGCTCTACATCTTTGTCCATTACAAGACAGTGGCAGGTGTCTTAAGTATGAAAAACGCACATTATGGTAGGTTCTTATGAAGTACGCAGCCACGCACCCTGTTTGCGGTAATGGAGTGTGTAGCAGCTCGTGCTAAAAGGGTGACGGTGAGTTTTTTTCGGATGATGATGGCCACGGCCAGGCATTTTCTCAGTCGGAATGATGCTCGGCTTCTCGGGGAGGTGGGAGGGGGCTGGCTGCGCACTTCATTTACAAGTGAAGACGGCTGTACTTTGCGTGAGACATTATCGTTCCGAACATGCTGAACAATGGTATCATGCTCTTTTTTTAGTACAAGGCAGAATAAAAGTTGTCTCAAATGGAAATATTCCATCAGAAACCTATCTACAGTTTATATCACCGCGACTGTCGGGTCGCAATCAGCGGTTCCCACCTGCGGCCTTCCCACCAGTGGCTGATTCCTTCCTACATCGATCATTGCTCGATCACCATTGGTAGAGCAAGGCGGCCGGACGCGAGCTCGTGCCGCGCTGCGCTCGCCGCCCCCGACAAATTGCAATGTTATGAACTATACGTCACGTCCACTTGAATTACAAGGCGACGCCCACCGCATCTCCAGGATATCGGGAATATTATACGCATTTCGGTACGTAGAATCCATCATGGAAGTCCATTTCACTTCACGAGGAACGGCTAAAACATTGGACCATTGTTTCAACTTCTTTCACAGTGGAGCAGAGCCAGAGCTCACCGTCGCCCAATACGACGGGGTTTGCATTCTGTCACTAGGTGAAAGGTCTTAGTTTACTATTGTTGTTATTATTTTTTCTTTTTTTTCCAAAAAAATCTCGATTCTCCCTGTTCGCGCCATGTACCCACCAGTTACCAGCGCCGAAAATCTTCTACTTCTGGTAGTTGACAATAGGTGTCTGTCATCCCCCTCCCCTCAACCCGGCCCAATAGACGGCGAATTTTCGAATTTTTGGCAGATTTGGTGAGATGGTCGGGCGGGTCAGTTGTGGAGGGGAAAGCGTACCAAGCAAAAAATCTGGGCGGGAGGAGAAGGTGTACCGCTTGTGTCCCACAGGATGATGGTGTACCCCTACGTAAGAGCTGGGAGTAGCGATTGAGAAACTTGTCCAGATGTGTTTTTCTAAATAGCCCTAGCGCTGCACGAAAAATTGGTTTGGGTTGAATTTTATGAACACTGATTGTCATTGACAGCTTACTGCAGTACCATCTGGCGCAGGGTCACCAAACTAGTCATTTGTGGCAGACGTTTTTTGAATGCAGCCGACCTCAGCGGTGGAATGACGCAGCGCTATTCCATTGCTTATCGATCCGCATGCCAGTGTGTGGCGTGTCGGCTGTAGCGCGAGGCGCTCGTTCTCCTTCGGGGGTGAGGTTTTTACGAATTGTTTTGTTTCCTTTTATATTCTTCTTTTTTGTCCAGACTGTCAAGGTCAATATTTCAGAATATGATCAGCGAAGTGGCATACATTGAACTGATGAAAAATTGCTCAAAATGGAACGAAAGAGCCAGCAACGAACGCAGAGCCAGGTGAGTAGTCCAATCGATATATGCAGTGAGGCGCTAGTCCAATAAGCAGAGTATTTTGGTAATGTCCTGTAAGCACCTCGTGGAATTCAACAACTGTGACGAGATGCAAAAACCCTTTTCTGCCTGGAAGGATTGTTTTCGCTACCCCGAATCTCTTCCTCATTCTAGGCTGCGGCCAAGGTCCTCGTCTCCCTGGCTCAGTTTTTCGTTAGAGGACAGTGAATGGTCTCTGGCGTAGAGGGCGGGGGAGGGGGTGGGGGGAATCGAAGAAGTGGAGTAAAGATGGAGCTCGCAAAATGTTGAACTATAATAATTGTTGAAGGTTCGAAAGTTCTTCCCAAAAAGTTGGCTGGAAGAGGCATAAAGTGGCCTCTTGGTTTGCGAACTAGGTTGTGTCAGTAAGGTGGGAGTTGGAGTCCTGCCTGGACACAAGCCTTTGCCCCACTGCAAAGCATTCTTGTGAAGAATTTGGATGAACAGCTGTTGCCGTAAAGCACTGAAATGGCCCGATATGTTGGACTAGCTCCCTAGTTGTGGTTCATGCTAACGACAGTCAGAGAGGAACCTTTGGATGTTCTAAAAGGCACGATAATCTGCAACTCGGTTTAGAATGGTAGCAGGGGTGCTATGTAGTGGGAAAATGGCGAAAAAGCGAAGTGAAACGGTCAAAAACCTGCAAAAAAGCCTTTGTTCTACACGACTCAGAAAGCAGTTTCGGACGAGTTTCCCGTTGGCATCGTGCCAATATCCGCGACGGTAAATGCGGTTACTTGTGCATATTCAATCTCCATGAAGGATCGCAGCCGCTTTATATCGGTCCATTCGCTCCGTACTGTACGCAAATGAAGCGATACGAGCAGTAAAATCGGTCGGGCTTTTATGGACAGGCGGGCGCGGCAGTGTTCGGTTCGGTACGTTGCAGCTTGGTAGAGCACTGTAAGGGTTCATTCCTTAGGGAAAGTGCTACGTGCCTTAAGAGTGCCGAATTCTGTCCTTGGTCTACGGAAACTAAGCCCAGTCCCATGGGACGAATTTCTGTTTCTTTCTGAGCTCTCACGTCTGCTTGCACGTTCTCTTACCGCTTTGACCTTTCACATTCCAACTTTTCACGCATAACAAGTGTTGTATTCACCATTCACGGCGGTTCTCTTCCTTGAAAAATGATGTGGCTCGCGATATGTTTTTTGTACCTCTCGATGCTCGACGGCCGCAGTTCTTTATTTCTCTGCCGTCTGGCCTTTCGCAGCAGGACCTCCACCAGAACTTTTAGTCGTCACGTAACCGTATCCAGGAGCTAGCGTCAGTTTATCTGACAGTTTGTGGGTCTCTGGATGGCTAAGAAGCGAGGGAAGCTTTTGGATCACTCCTCAAAGTCTTATAATGCGGAATTCATAATATCAGAAATCACTAAACATTGGTTTTCAGTTCCAGGTGCCACGAAAGATTGAAGGGGTTCGGGCAAGTTGTCAGTTGTCGAAGAAGTACTAGACTGGTATACAGTTTGTGTGTGAACCTGAAGTCAGAGTTCAATCCAAGGGCGCTGAAGGGCTGTTATAACACACGTCCTGAAAGTTACCGGTTGATGACTCTAACTTTCGTTCTCTTTCAGGATGCGTTATCCATTTTTCGATCAACAAACGGGTACAGCTCATCGTTTCAATCCGGTCTTCTATCGCTCTCCTTCTCAACGTGCTAGTTCTACTGATCCGAATATCGTTGTACAGTACACAACCCAGCGATGGCGTCGTCGACAGTCTGCCAATTCATCCGATGCCATTGAAATGAAGATGTTCCTTCGTGATAATCCAGCACTTGATGCAGCTCTGAATACAACAACGTCAACAACTCAATCTGGTGAGCTCAAAATAATATCTGTTCGATTCCTAGTAAACGCCTCTGAAGAAAACACTCAAAGTATCCATTGCTGTAGTTAGAGAAGGCAACGATTTGTATTAGCTGTCATATCGGTTGGTAATTTCAAGAGGGGCAAGACTATCGTGTTTTTTTCGCCGTCGCGTGCGACGTGTCGTGCGGCGATGCGCGGCAACTTTTCAATGTGCATCACTTTGTCGCTTGTAATAGGGAAGTTCATATGCAATCAAGCGGGTAAAACGGGCGATATCGATCTTCCCGTCCGTACAATCGTAAACTTCGTACAGCCAGACAAGACAACTCGTCTATCGACACGGCATCGCTTGCGACGTCCCCCAGCGCGGCATATTGCGATTGCCTTGTCACGAACCCCTCCGGGTCGCTAACCTCCTTGTTCCGCTCTCGCTACTCGTCTTCAACATGTGCTTTTCCTCTGCATGCAACTCTACCACCTTACCTCCTTAGAACCTGCGAGTGGAGGCCTTATATGGTCTTATACGGTACCACTCTGAGTTCGCAACAGCTGGCGAGAAAGGCTGTCCTGCTACGCTCCAGTCCACGCTCTCTGTTCGTGAGGATTACGACTGTGCGTGACAAGACAATCGTATCATGCCGTGCTGGGGCGTGGCGAGCGACGACGCGCTCGCGAGGGACGAGTTGTCCTATCTATCCGTTTGAGTTGGATGTTGAAGAAATTGGAAAGATTGATGAGTTCCTTCATGAAACTATGTGCGATGGAGCAATGCACTGCGTTTCGTGAGTCCAGTCGGCAAATTGATGTGCATCGATTAATCGCCGCGCATTGCCGCATAACGCGCCGCGCGCGAGACAGCACTGCAGATCAGCTGAAAAACGGCATTTTTTTCATTATCTGCTCACAATGCCCAATTTTGTTTCGGTGCATTGTTCCGCTGCGACAGCTGCATTTATTGTTGTTCTTTTTATTGGGCCAGCACTTGTTAAAAAAACCGCTTCCAGAGTCACTTGATACTGGATTTGATTATGGACAAGGAAAAGGGACGCCGAAGGGCCTTTTTGTAAGTTTTCTACATCGTTTTACTTTTGTGCTCCTGTCAGTACCATGATTCTTGTTCAGGATTACACAGAGGAAGGAGATGATGATGCATCAAATGATGACGGCGGTAGTGATGAAGACGATTGGGGGTCAAAGCGAAAAAGTCGCAAAGCTCAAGGCAGTTCATCTGGTACAGGAAGCAGTTCGAAAAACAAGAAGAAGGCGAGTGACTCCTCGAGAGGAGGGCGAAGTAGCGCCGCGGCAGCGAGTGCGGCGCAGGACGCGGCGGATGAAACAATGAATTTCCATTGCAAAAGTGAGTGACGAGCCCAAGCGCCCGTCTGCGCCCGGCAATCCGCGTTGAAGCGCCGCGTCCCGCCCCATTGGCGTCCCACGGCTCGCTGCACGGTTGCCGGTCGCGACTGGCTGCTTCTGATATTAATCACACTGTTGGCTATCATTTATCATACGTTTTCTTCAGTGTGCTCAGCGGCCTACAAGAGTCTCGCGGGCTTAGCCTATCACAAAGCTTTTCAACACCACATGCCTCTACCTAATGGTGTGAACGTAGGTAAGACTTGTCAGCCGTTTAAATACTTGTTATTTGGCTGGCTGTGTCTAATGCTTTGTTTATTTCGCCCATCCGGCTTGGTGAGGACATTTTGCCTGTTCCCACCGATCACTGCCGATGGCTTCTGTGGAGACGTGTAAATTCTTCTAAAGCTGTGCTCAAGCAGAAGCATCGCTTACACTTGATAGTTGTTTACCGGCTCAACTAGGTGAAAAGTGTACAGGAAAATGTAAAAGGGATTATAAAAGTGCAAAATGTCCCTCCCAAGCCGAACAGCGCCTGGCTTACATTTATTCCCCATGTGATTTCGATATTTCAGAAATCTCTTCTCACCTGGAAACATCGTCGATCTGTGATTTGTGTCTTGGCAGTAAACACATGAACAAGAAGACGAAGAAAGCTGAGGAGCTTGTTGTGTGTCATGACTGCGGGAGATCTGGTGTGTTTCTCACTTCGTTTGTGTAGTATTTATACAGAGGCGATTCCTCCCTGAGCTAACGAGGTCACACCGCTAACGTCGCGCGCGGCGGGTCGCCTGGTGTTGTCATTGTTGCACTACAGTATCCACACAAGTGGTCGCGGAGCGAGAGATTGCACTTATTTATGGCGTGTTACGGAGTAGCAAGGGGATGGCTTACTTCAATTCTCCAAATGAGCCAATAACAAAACTCGTCGCACAGGCTGCGCCCCTCAGCCACGGACCCATGATAGATTTGCTACATACCCAGAAGTCCGTGAAACGTCTTTACCCAACGGTCAGTCTTCAACCATGAGTTTCAAAGAGAAAATGGTCGTCACTTCAAAAGTTACTGATTCTGTATCCTTCTTGGTGCAAGATGGTCTTGGTGCTGTGTTGCACGGTATGACTGTTGCGTTGACATAATCGTCTCGACGGTGTAAAAAAGGCTAAAGTTCTCGTCACTAGCAAGTGCTTTTTTTGGGATGCTCCACGGATGCTCCCTCCATTCAGAATCTTACTTACTCTTGTATGTCCTCAGGTCCACGTAGTGGTTTGCAAAAGATTTTGATTCTCTCAGACGACACTATTTTGGTTTAGCCGTCCTCGACAGAGGACCTGGCTGGAACCTTTGCGAGTAAACGACCCTCGGATCGCGCGGGCGTGATCCTTTTACGATTCCACAGCTCTGTTCCTGGTTAACGAAAAGGTAAAAATCAAGACAATCGCAATTGCGCTTGTTCGCGCGGGAAGCCCGCCAGCACGGCTAGTTGCGATTGTCTTGTCACATACCAGCGGGAAATGAATGAATGAAAAAGGTCTGGTACTTTGAGCGATGTCTCTCAGCAGCGTCACACACTCCCTTTCTGTTGAAGTACATCTTACAAATATTTTATATGTACACCGAGACTTATCTTTTGTGCCCCAGATTGTATGCTGCCTCTGCCATGGCCTTTACTCGTCCCTTATGAAGTTGGGTTTTCCTTGGTTCGAAAATAAACCAGTAAAGTGGAAAGTATTAGCCCCTTGCCCAATGTTTCCTGAGTTGGTTTTCTGTAGGGGAGGAAGGGGGTCCATTTTGTTTTACTCAATATGGTTACATTTGAAAGAGGATTTATGAAGATACGGTGAAACTTTCTTGTTTTCTGCGGATTTTGATACCTAGTATCATTTGATGTCCAGTGCTTTATCTTAGGAAAATAATACTGTTAAAACAGTATCTAAAGAGTATTTCGTGGTTTTAATGTCAGTATGTTGTGCGTCCGCCAATCATTTCCTTGTCATAAGTGTCGTATTTCAGCTCATCCTACCTGCCTTAATTTCAACGACAATGTTCCTGTCATCATTAAACGCTATGGATGGCAGTGTATAGAATGCAAGAGCTGCACCATTTGTGGAACTTCGGAGAACGACGTTAGTTCCAGCTAATGTTTGACTTCGATACTAACAATTTTCAGAGAATTCACATTGTTCGTTTTTATTCCCAGAGGGTTCTGCTTGTAGCTGTGCAGAGAGTACTACAGAAGGGGCCCGTTCAAGTCCCATAAAGTCAAGGCAGCGTTCAGACCTCGCGATGACGCTCGTCAGTGCGTTACGAGGCCATTGCAATAGTGGTACAGTGTTACATACGGAAACACAGCCATAGACGGGTAGCGGTTGGCAACGGTCGCTAGATTTCCGAAAGAGTACAGGAGGGAAGGCGTTGCCTAACCCTTTAGTCTGACACCCTCCTATTCTTTCATATTCTCCCAAAACACCAGCCGCAAGCGCCGATCGAAGCCATGCTATACGATAAGGCAACACCCACACTTTTAAAAATCTAGTCTGATTTCCAAAGAGCGATGCCATAAACGGGAAACAATGCCGGATATCATGTTATTGATTTTTTGCGGATTTTTACGTTAAAAACATAGGTTGAAAGTTGATTTAAGGACAAGCTGCTGTTCTGTGATGATTGCGACCGTGGCTACCATACGTACTGTTTCAATCCGGCTATGAAGAGTTTGCCGGAGAACGAGTATTCGTGCGAGCTATGCATCAGAACATTCGGTGATCAGGCCAGTGCTGCACCGAAAACTACCACGAAAGAAAAAGATTAGTCAAGTGTATGACTAGGCAAT